ATTATATATATATATATATATATATATATATAAAAAATTAATATTTTATATAATTATTTAATTAATAATACTATATAATAGAATTTAGACAAATAAATAAATTTAGGGTAACATTTGGACATTTTCTAAGGATTGAAAAAGTAGCTAACCTACCATATAAATGGTCCAAACATTTAATTTAATTTAAAATTAAGAAAGATTACCTACTTTATCTAAAGCTTTGAACATTTCACATTTTCACACAGAGTTATTATTATTATTATTATTTGAAAAAAGAAATAAAGTTGATCATCTATCCTAGTTTAAGTATTTGTTTTTTTTGGAAAGGAGATTCGTAAGCGCTATTCTTTAAATGTATACAAAATAAATTCTTTATTACACATTATATTTAACGGAACTTTTTTTAACATTTTCCTCATTAATTTTGCTTCCTAATGAGTGATGGTATTTCATATTTACACCCTTCTACAATAATAATATTATTCAAGTATCATTTTATAAAAAAAACTTTCAATGTACATACATATGTTATTTTTCCTTGAATTTGCGATTTATAAATGACAATTCAATTCATATATGTTATTTTTCTTTGAATTTGCGATTTATAAATGACAATTCAATTCATATTTAAGGATTAAAGATTCACAAATTATAATGACCATATGTTATTTATTTTTTTATGTCAAACAACTTGCTAAATGCTAATGTAATTGAAAACTCATTTATATACTACCTAACTTAAATCTCTCTTTTCATATTTGCAAATCTTTTTATGTCTATATAATCTTCATTTGTCAAAAATCTACGCATTAATTTGTCTTTCTACTTTCAATAATTGTCCTTAGAGGATGGAATTAAATTTCTATTATTCAAATTGAAATTAATATACTAGTTAATTACCTAATGTAGCTATAGTTTTCATTAGTTACTATCAGTGTTTTAAAAGACGGGGGCGTGAGGTGAGGCGTTTTATACAGTATGGGGTGAGGCGTAAACCTCGAGACACGGGGCGTAATCCCATGAATCTATGGGGCGTACTCTCGTGTATATTCAATTTTATAGTTTTATTACTAATTAAATTCCTTTCAATGATTTTACATATAATTTTTTATTAAAAACCTATAATATATAGAAATTATATTATGATTTTTATTTGCGACAAGTATTGATAATCTATAATAAAAAAAAAAGTATCGTAATTACTATTTAAGAAATATCATTACACCAACAACAATAAAACATGACTATACAAGTATAAATAATCTAATATCTTAACTTTCTAATAATAAAATAATCATTATTTCTCTCTCTCTCTCTCTCTCTATATATATATATATATATATATATCGTACTATAAA